TTTTTTTTTTTTTTTTTTTTCATCAACAGTTAAATCACGCAACTGCGTGTGAGTGAACAAACGCGTTAACTTTTTACGGGGTACTGGTGATTAATTGCACCAGTGCTGCACGAAGGATCAAATGTCGTAATTTAATCAATTCGTCAGGGATCACAATTAGTTTTTTTAAATTGCTTCTCTTGTGTTTTTTTTTTCGTTTGTTACATTATTGTTTATTTAACTTCAGATCAGACTCAACAGCAGTTTTTTGCATCGGCTCTTGACAATTTTCTTTTTGTGGCATTTCTTTTATCATCAATAATAATAAATAATCAAATAAATATTATTAACCATAAACATTACGTTTATTGTTGATAAAAAATTTACTTCTCTAACGTGTTAAAATTTTGAATGTCGCATTGCAGCAAAAAACACACCAATGTATATCGCGACGTAGTTTTAACGTTCAAATTGTCCAAACTGTCGTTAACTCGTTAAACAAACAAAAAAGAAATCGGTCCGTCTGCAAAATTTCCATTTTTTTCAAAAGCTAGAATTGATTGTCGCTGCCAAATTATTGACATTTTGCATCCGCGTTCCTAAAAATACGCGTTGCGCGGCAGATCGGGGTGTCTCCGCGTTCTCTCTCTCTCTCTCTCTCTCGTCAACTATTATTACCCGGTTACCGAGGAACAAACCGCTCCGCGCGCACGGAAAACGAGCGCGTTTGCGGTCGTCCACCGCGCGGCGCCACGTTACCGATTCATCGGCGCGGGGCGTCGCGACGACAACGACGAGAATAGAGAGACCGAAGACACATCGGGCGCCGATCCAGAGAGCACTGACCCAGTATGCTCAACTGTCGCTCGGTTTTGCGGACAACGGCGATAACGACGACGACGACGACGATTCTCCGTGCCGCCCCCCTCCGACCGTCTTTCTCCTCCTTCTCCTTCTCTTGCGCATCGTCGCCGCTTTGAGAGCGCAGGACTGCCGTCGACAATTCTACGTCGCGTGGACCACGTGTCGTTTCTGGTAGAACCACGTGTCCGCGATCCGCGTGTGTGCAGGAGGGGACTCGCGTGATCGCAATATCGACGCGGAAAGAAATTTCGCTCGACTTTTCTCGCGTTTGCTTGTCGTCGTGTCTTTTCGATTGCAATTTCGTTTGTCACGTCTCGGTCGATACACGTGTGATTTTTTTTTTGTTTTTGTTTTTGTATCTCGACGGAGAGAGAATTGTGCGCAGCATTTAGGTATAACGGAGGTCACACTGGTAGATTTATTCAAAACGCGCTTTTGGTTTCGGCGATACTTTCATTACGGAGGCTCGTAAATTTGATTTGCGACCGCGGGGGGGTTTCTTATATACGCGCGCGATGGATGACGAAGAGATTCCTGCCGCGCTCACGTAATTCACCCGAAATAAACATCGTCAATAAACATTTTATTTCCTACCGCGTAAATGGTTTGGTTTATTCGCGAGCGAGGTTTCGGCGGGTCGTGTCGCGATCAAAGGCGGCTGCGTGTTTATACGCAGAAAACTCAAAGGATGTTGCTTCTCAACTCCGACGAGTTTTCCGTCGATTCTTTCTTTTTCGTCGTCGGAAAAATTCCGAAACGACGACGCTCAGTTCCAATTCGAAAGAATTCGTTTCGAAATCTCAGTTTCGCGGAGAACTCTGTTTTATGATTTCGCAAAAGTTTGTTATTATTAAAAGTAACGTCGTTGCTTTTTCCGGGGGCGGGGGGGAGGAAGGAAGGAGGATGGGGGAGCCCGCGCTTCCGCATACGCGCGAGTTTCTCCCCGTGACTCCCCGGAGAATTGTCGTTTATTTTTTCAGCCGGCCGCGGAAATTTATGTCCCGCCGCGCCGCGCTTTATCTCCGCTACCAGAAATTTTCGAGATATCTCTGAAGGAGACTCCGGAGTGGTTCCGCGATGAAAGAAGCGGCAGATGGAGAATTTTTTCTTTTGACATCTTATTGCGCGATTTTTTTTAAATGTTGCTAAGAGTGAGAGAGAGAGATAGAGATAGAGAGAGAAAGAGATTTGTTGAGCCGCGGAACGAGGTCACGCGAGAATCTTGGCATCGTTAAAGCACGGAGATCCCCTCCCTCTCCGAATTATTCTCGATTCCTTTTTCAAATGCTAGACTTTGGACGCTCGAAATATCAACCGAGTGCTCGAAACGCTATAAATAAATAGCGAGCGCGCGCGCGCGTTGTACACACACGGCCGGTTTGGCGAATGCAATTAAATTTTCGTGCGCGCGCGAGAGAAACGTGTGTAAGCCACGGGTGTGTAATAATACTGACGATTTTTCTTTCTTCTTATTTTTCAGGTGAATACGAGAAATGAGTGGGCGTCGTTGTGTGAACAATTCCATCTACCCGGCGGTTGCATCAACAGCGGGGTCGGTCTCAAGCAAATTTATCTCCGGTAAGTTCCTCACACTTCTCCCGAGATAATTGATACTTGATAATTGTTTTCCGATAAAGAACTATTGGAGCTATTTTGCGGGGGTGTGTAACTCTGAAACTTGCGAGTTTTTTTTTTCAAACTTTTATATTCAATGTAGAATTTTTACATGATTTTTTCTTCCCTCGAACTCCCATCAGTCCCACGATGAGATCTCCGTCTCGGGCTGTGTCGAAGCACCGTCAGGAAGAAATCCACCGAAACTCGACGCACCTCGCTTCGGCTTACCGATCACCGACGCATTCACCCCCTCCTGTTAAATCGGTCGGAGGAAGCGACGGGCTTCGAGCTCGGGCTTCGGGGGACCCGGCGGACTTCTCGCCGCGTCGAGCTCGAGCGTCGCGCGGTCGCGCTTGCTACAATGTTCCATTGCGTCTGGCAGTCCGCGAGCGTCTGCAAGAGGCAGGGAGCAGCAACGTTTTGCCGCACGGCCAACACCGCGTATCGGCATTGGTCCCTACGCCCCACCACCATTTTCCGTATCGCGTACTACGTACGTTCCGTTCATTCATGCCCCCGGCCTCGGCGCCACGACGAGAGCCACCACGTGGTTCCTGAGTCTCGCTTTCCTCTCCCTGCCTCCCTCCCTTCTTCTATCTCTCTCTCTCTCTCTCTCTCTCTCTCTCTCTCTCGCTCTCGTTCTCTTTCTCTTTCCCTCGCCGGAGCGCGAGCCCTGCAATCTTGTTAGCGCGCGTGGCTGCCAGGCGCGCGCGTGGACATGCCACCGGGTTTCTGGCTGCCGGCGCCGGCTGTCATACTAATTTTTCTCGCCCGAATTCGCGGCGTAAGCGGGACTCGAGAACTCTCTCGTAATCCCCCTCCTCCCCCCCCCGAGTTCTTCTCATCCGAGGGTTCGAGGATTTCTTCTCATGAGCGCGTGATCGTCTTCTCGTTTGGTTTTTCAACCGAGGAGGATAGGTGTTCTCTCGATGTGTTATATCGATCATTTGTTGCTGCGACATCACGGACCGACGGGAGGACGAAGAGCTGAGAATAACTTTCGCAGCTTCGCGCAATCGATCGAGGTCGCATCTTGCTCTGAATTTGAATGTCAACAAAGATGCGCGAGGATGTTTCGTCGCATATCAACATATCTGATGTATTTCATCAGGAAGTTGTCCTTCAGGCAGTTGTGTTCTTCTAGACTGGTTTTTGACGTAACGAAGTAACGCGTTCGGACAAGAGAGTCACCAGGCAACTTCTATGTGCGCAAGGGATAAATCTCGTCGCCCAACCGTTGAACGGTCGCGTCACCCTTTCGAGACGCTTTCATTCACGCCACGTGGTACTCTCCGCACTAGCAGTCGATAGAAAGCCCGTGGCATACACGCGCCTGCCGCTGCAGTAGCAGTCGGAGTAGTGTTCAGCAGTCCGCACCCGCCAACGGCCAATCAGGCTCTGGCTGCTTGCTCTCCACACCGCCTGCACCTTCCGCACTGTACGTTGGTTGCATGAATGGATCCTCCACATCTACCCCCACCATCTTCTTTCGTCCACCCACGACGTGATGTCCTCTCTCTCTCTCTCTCTCTCTCTTTCTCTCGTCGTTTCATGACTGTTCCCTACCTTCTCTCTCTTTCTCTCTTTTTCTCACTTCATTTCTCTCTCACACACTCACCCCGTTCGTGTGAACTTCGTGCGACGTTCGTCGCACCTTCGACTGGTCTCGCCCCCTTGAGAGAGAGAGAGAGAGAGAGAGGGTTCACAGCAGCTTCTTTCATGAGCCGCACGTGAGTCGCGCGGCGTTTCTTTGAGCGGAACCGCTACCACGAGCCACGTGGTGACATCCACGCGCTTCGAATCAACCGGTTCCTCCAGAAACCGATCCCGTGCGCGATAAACCTCGCAACTGGGCGGCCGCGATTGGCGGAACCGATCGCGGTTGATGCGATCTTCCGACCCTTAAACGTTATTCCGTTCCGTTGCATCACGATTCGCGCGCGATGTGATTGAATTTTCTCAAGTTGTTCGGGAACAGATAGCGCGATCGCTAAGCATCTTTGTTTTTCTTAATAGGAGCACCTTCGAGAAGTGGACGCGCAAAGTTGAAGTTTCTTTGAAACTTTGGATTTGCGAGGAAGAGAGAAAATTTTAATATATGCAGCACTTGTTATTTAATGTGGAGAGAAAATATGATAAAAGTTTTCGTATAATTGCCCCTCACACGCTAAGATTCTCTTGAAGCTTTACTTCACGTAATTCTCTCGCGAGTCATTAATATGCGACGTGACCTCGTCAGGGTGAGATTTTAATTTGTTTTTATTAAAACAAAATTAAGTATATAAAACAATTTTACAGATTTGGTTTTACAGATTTTTGTATAAATCGTTCGTGACTGACGTAATGTTGGATTTGCGTTTCAGGTATCTGGACAGGTACGAAAAGGTTCACTTCCTAGGCGAGGACGGTCAACAGGCCGACGACGATGACGAGGACTCCAGACACAGAAAGTGGTCGGCCAGAGCGCTGCATTCGGTTCCTCTTACCTATAACCATTCTCAGCACAACATTGCAGGTGAGAGTCAATTTGAAGACAATATTTTACGTTTATATATATATAAAAAAAAAAAAATTTTGCGAAATATTGTTGCAGTTGTACTTTCTCTGAACGAAAAAAGAGATCAAAGATCGCTCTGAAATTCTTTCCAGTTTGTTTCTTTCGTAATGCACGTAACGCATCTGCTTGTTTCGGACAAAATGCGCACTCGTATGCGAATTCGACGAGTGCGTTCGCGGCGCGCCCGATGAACCGCGTTTTTTTGCCAATTTTATATACAGCGCGCGGCGTATGTGCGTTTCGATACATTTCGCATGCACGTACACGCACGGTCGAGCGACTTTCAAATGCGTTTTCCACCGCCCCCATTGTTCCTCCTCCTTGTCGCTCTGTGTTGTATCGCGCGCGCACACACACACACACACACGCACACGGGCGGTGTTCTCTCTCTTTCTCTCTCCCATCTGCCTTTTTCTCTATTTGTACGTGCGAGTCACGGTTCAATAATTCGCAACGTTAGCAATTTCCGCCTGTCAGAATTTTTCGCTCGCGCGTTGTCCCCGGCAACACCGCGTAAAAATATCGGTGCGGTTCGATCCCACCGCCCGCGGTGTCATCACCTGGCCCCAAACCCGCCCAGGGTTTTTTTTGCCTTCTCGGGAAGGGTTTTATTCGTCATCGCGCGGGAGACGTCTGAATCAAAATCTTCGCACCGTGCGAATTCGTTACGCGTAACAAATCGCGGAGCCGAGTGACACGATAAAACGAAATTGGAAAAGTACTATATATCGTTACGCGGTATTCCTAGTTTCGTACAACAGTCACTTATTTACAAATAAATAAATAAATATCCGAGAGGAAGTAATATTTTATGATATTAATATATTTTTGCCGACTAGGATATATTTCTGCTAAGGAAACGCCGAACTTTTAAAATAGGCTACTTCGACGTGAGTGATCCCTGTGATGTGAAAATGCGTTGAGCGCTCTCTCGCTCGCTCGCTCCGTCTTTGCGGGAGAGATGTATAAACGTACATACGCGCGATACACACGTATGTATCGCGCCGTGGCCAAGGCAGCAACGGGTTATTGACGTGCTGCCGCTCGGAGAGCAGCTAGCGGTGGCGGGCTATCGAGCCGGAGAGGGATATAGAGAGATAGATAGCGAAGCGGAGCGCGCGAGTACGTGCGAGAGTCGCGACGGTGGCCTGGCTGGGAGCCGCGAGTGCATTCAGCGTGCACGAGTGGCGCGCGGGAGAGGAGGGCGACGTGGGAGGGGTCGCGAGCGTGTGCAAGATAATTTAATGGGCAATAATCATGACACACTTATGTACAGGGTGTCCCGAATACATGTCGGGTATATCTTTACCGGTTGGATTTTGAATCGCGTTTTTTTTATCACCCCTTTGCGGCGATGTTGACGGTTGAAATGCATATATCGCATGGTGAAATTATATGAAAATTATATGTGAGATATGTATGAAATTTAATATAAAATAACAAAATAAATGAGTATATTAACAGAGTATTTAATATTGTATCGTGCATTTTTGTGCGAAATTAGAATTTAAAAAAATTCTAACAAGATAAAGTTTTTTTATTTTATTATCTTTATTTTTTTATTATTCGAAATTGTGCAAGCGTGTAAAATATAATCTCGTGCGTGTGCGAGATTATAAAAGTTTATCTTTTCGAATAAAGACAAACTCTTTTCGACTGCGAATCAATCAGTCGAGTTACGTTGGTGTCAAGAACACACATCCGGCCTTCCCGGGACATCCTGTATACAACAACGAATACCGGGAGCATAGCGCATATACATACCGCCGGTACGTCCGCCCGTCGACTGGCGGAACGCGCGCGGGTCTATACTCGGCGCACATGCGCACGCCGCATGCGGCAAGCCTCGGTTTTACGAGCGGATTGCCCGCACAGAAGCTCTGGGGGTAACCGGATGACGACGGGTCGCGTGGGAGGTAAGGGAGGGGAAGACGACGTGCGAGCGCGCAGCGCCCAGGGTGCCGAAGCCCGTCTGTGCCGTAGGAGGGGACGCGAAAATGACGCTTGCCGATATCTACGTGTACGTAACGATTGTTAATTTGCTTTGCCGGGGGTCTTAGCCGCGCGCGCGACCTCGGACTCTCGTGGAGCGCAGCTCCCGCGCAAGCCGCGAGCGAGGGCAACCCCCTCCGTCTCTCCCCGTTCTCATCGATGCTCACCCGGAACCGGGTCAGTGAAGGCGCCCTGGCGGAAAGTTCTCTCTCTCTCTTTCTCTCTATCTCTCTTTTCCTCTTGTCTCATTCCGATTCATCCCTCTCTGCGCATTTGACGCCGAGAGGCGCCTAATCATTCGCTCCTCGCCGGGTGAGCTTCACGCGCGTCTCACAATTCCCTCCGACCGGACGTTACTAAAATTGACATTCTCTCGCGTCCTCGGAAATAAAAAAGACCCGACTGGTTTGTTGTCAACGTGAAAAAAAAAAAAAAAAATCTTTTCCTGCAACGCACGATTTTGTTCGTGAGATGCACGGTCGAGAGATCGCGTCGCAATCTCGATTGAGAGACACTGACATAACGGATTCAGATCAGACCTCGATCGATGTTAGTCACCATCACGATGAAACAACCGATGCTCGCGCTTCGTGACAATCTTTTTCTGAATCAGCAGTTCGAAGTACATATTATATTCCCTCGCGTTTTCAATTATTCATTTTCTCGTCAAGGTGGGAGGAGTGCGCGGTCGTGCATTATCAATCGTTTCTTCGCGAACGGAAATTGTTTGGGCGGAAAATTTTCTCCAAAAAAAAAAAAAACCCACCCACGCGCGAGTTAACTCTCCGGTCACAGGTAACCGGACAAAGAAATTTGTGTGTGTGCACATAAAATCTTGATCTCTCATCCGCCCGCGTTGATTGATGCACACACGCGATCGCTAACTGCGAATCAGCGATCGCGTGTGTGACAGCGAGCGCCGAAACCGAGCGTTTCTCTACGCGCGAACTCGTCCGAATTCGCATCGCAACGCGCGTACGTACGAAAAATTGCAAAATGTTGCGCAAATCATGATTTTGTTGAAGAGACTCTCGCAATCGAGAAGATCGCGAGCGTTGAATTCAGATCGAGATTTTAATTGAGATGAGAAAATGAACACTCTCGTCACGTGCGTGTCACCACCTCGAGCGGGAGAGAAACCCGTTAACGGGTGAGGAAGAGAGAGAGGGAGAGGGAGAGAAACGAGCAAGAGCGAGACAACGACGGGGCGCGCGTCACAATCAATAAGCGTTTGCGGGGATAAGTGTTCCGTCGGTTCTTGATCGTCCCGGTATAATGCCGCGCTTGCGTGATGTTCGCTGCGATTCCAGCGAGAGAGAGAGAGAAAACTCTCTCACAATCCGTGATTTCTCCCGTTTCGCTCGAATTCAAAGATGGTTCGGAGGAGAAGAAGAAGCGACTTGTCAACGCTTTTGAAAATCAAGCTCTCCCACGAAGATGCGATTAAAATATTTTTATTCCACAAAAATTTCGAACAACGAAAATTCGCAAAATACACACGAGTGTAACAATACTATGTATCAGTGCGCGCGAAGAAACGTGAGAACGTATTAAATTCGCGCGCAGCGTAACAACGACGATAATTGCGAACTCTTGTGAAAATATAAAAAATTAATTACATTGACGTTGATATTTTTTTTTACACACGAATGAATAAATAATTCAAGACGCGACGAGAGTCAACTTGTTTTCGAAAGTCAATCCCGCGTTGCGATTACTCGACGAGAATCGCGCGGCATTGCGCGAAAATGATTTTCCGCTGTATTTCAAGTCCGATTATTTTGGTACGGACGCCAGAGAGAGATTCCTGATCTCGGATCGTATCCACCTGTGGGGTGGTCGCGACGATTGACACGACGACGTCTGGGGCTACCGCGTGCCACCCGCGTCCAATCGACGCGTTCCGCCGCACTGCGCGCGCTCGTCTCGTTACGGAGGCGTTTGTCAGCGGACTGCAATGCCAATTAACGCGCGGAGACCCGCGCGTATATGCGCAATGTTCTCTCTCTCTCTCTCTCTCTCTCATTCACTCACTCACTCACTCACTCACTCATACACTCACTCACTCACTCACTCATATCTCGTTCCGTGAATATTCCTCTTCCGGTGAAAAACGATCTCTCCTCTGCAGCAGTCGAGAAAACGACGGTCATTTGCAGAGGGAAAACGTTATACTCCGTATCTCAGAACAAAATTTGTTTCAAACAGGGGTGGATTTCGCTAGGAGGGAAAGATTCATTCTCGCGTTTATAAGATGTCGTATCGTCTTGCTCGACATTTACCGCATAATTTTGTTTATTAATTGATGATAAAGAAACGCTCGCGCGCGGTGAACGCGTACTCGCGCGGGTTAAACGCCCGCTCTCGGTGGTGTGGTTACAAGTGAGTGAGGAGAATCGATTGGGGACTTCTGCGCGCGCGTTTGTGTGTCGCGCTTATTTATCGGTACTTAATCGGTAATGCCGTTTGATACTGACGCCGGGCGGAGTTGGATTGATTGAACGCGCACGAGCAAGCGAGCGAGCGAGCGAGCGTGCGTGCGGAGGGAGGAAACACGATGTCATGCGATGACAGTGCGCCAGCCGCGTGCCGCTTTTATCGCCTCCGCCGACGACGACGACGACGACGGCCGCGGGTCGTAAATAACCGCGTTAACATTCGCCAGCGCGCGGATTAATTGCATCTCGCTGTGCTAATTACGGAGAGAGAATTAACGGTCACGTGAATTCCGGATTTGGCGCGTCGTCTCCTTCTCTTTCGTTTTCAAGATAAATCCGGAAAATGTGTTCGAAGGGAGGAGAGCCGTAATTTTTATCACACGAGGAAAAATCCATCACCTCCTCCTCGGAAGGAATAGCAGCGTTGTTTTTGTTGGAAAAATGTTGAAGTCAGATGCGGAGGGTACAGTTTTTGGAAGCCGACGATTATACGAGGACGAGATGTTTATTGAAGATATTACAGAGATGTAAAAAAATGAATGTACTTTTTTTTTTATGCAACGTAGANTTTTTTTTTTTTTTTTTTTTTTTTTTTTTTTTTTTTTTTTTTTTTTTTTTTTTTTTTCCACGTCACGTTAAGGCACACACTCCCCCTTTATTTACGTCGTGGAAACAAGGTGTTCAACTTGAAATCGATACTCGCCACTTCGCAGCGTCGTTGGACGAGTCGTGATTTTATTAACGAGGAGGCCCCCGGCTTCTTCGGATCCCGTTCCTCCTTCCTCTATTTTTCTACCCTTCCTCCCCGTTTCGTCTTCGTCTCGCGCTCTTTCTTCTACTACTTCTTCTTCTTCTTCCCGCCGTTATACCGGTCGCCGGTTTGTGTGTGTCCCCCCGTGTTTTCCGGCGAAACTCGACACTTCTCCTGGGACGCGATATTGATCGCGGTTTTGCGGCTGAAAAGATTACCGCGATCCGCGATAACGTTGCGCCCGTCGTTGTACGTACTCTACGTGCACACAGCCCCGGTTTATTCAATGCTCTTGTGTTTCGAGCTCTCAATACGATTCTCTCTGTCTGTCTATCTATCTCTCTCTCTCTCTGTCTCTCTTTGTCTCTCTTTCTCTCTCTCTCTCTGTCTCTCTCTCTCTTTCTGCTCAAGCCTGAACGAAGGAAACTAATTCGCTCCGGAGGCATTAACGCGAGCGAGCGAGCGAACGAGCGTGCGGAGCGCGTAATTACCCATCCCGACGAATCGATCATCGTCCGCGATTGTGCAAACTGTGCCGCCGTCATCATCCTCCGAGAGAAGGGTGGAGGAAGATAAGAATATATTACCGCTCGTAAATATTTGCCCGTGACCATATTTCCTCGTATATTTATTAAAAGGCGCCCATATAAGCTTTCCGCGGGGACTTTTTTTTTTTTTTTATTATCTTAAGACCGTGACGTTATCTCCCGGATCTTTATTTCGAGCAGTAAGGGCACCGACAGTGATAAAATCGCGAACATATACTTCGCGATATTCCGCGCGTCGTCAGAAGTTGTGCAGAGGAAAATGGTAAGTCGGTTTTTATTTTTATTTTTTATTTTTTTTCCCATCGACGTAATTCGCGAGATGCGTATTATTTTTGCTCGCGGACACGTGGAAGGAAGTCGCCAATATGTAGATACGAGATTTTGTTAAGAGAGAGAGAGAGAGAGAGAGAGAGATAGGAGACATTCTATTTACATTTGACATTTGTCGTAAACAAGTTCAAATAATGCGTAGAAAGCGAGGCTGTTTTTTTTTTTTTTTTTTTTTTTAGACTTCGAGATATTGCGACGTCAGCAGCGATATTTGACGACGAAAACAGACGTTTCTATTCCGTGTATTTTATTATAGCGCGAGATGCAACGCGTCGATCGGTCGCTCATAGAAAGTCAACCTTGACCGCGAGAGCACAACCTACTTCGCGGCGCGTTAAGAACGAGTCGATCACCTCCTCGTGGCGGTGGGAATTGTCTTTAGCGCTGCGCGTTGGCGGTAATAATCGTTATCGCGCTCGATATAGAACGGTGCGAAAAAAAAAAAAATGATCTGTGTCTTATTTTCGTTGAAACAAAACCGTGCAACGTTCGCATCTATAAGAAAAAAAAACATTAAAAAAAGACAAACGAGATCGAGCGGAACGAACGCACCGTTCGCGCGGAAATCAAACTGTGCGGTGTGTGTGGATTAAGTTCGGCTCTACTGGTCGAGATAAGCGCGCCCAGTTTTTCCCTGATAAGTCGTGTATTCCGCACATCCCGCCGATGACCGATAACCGGCTTCTATATCCGACTTCGGTATTTATTGTTCTTGTGTGTGTGTGTGTTTTTTTTTTTTTCCCCCGAGCGATTCTTGTTCATTCTCCGCGCGTTTATCCGAGATCGATTACTTCTCGATTTCGCATCGATTCGTTGTCTCTCGACTGGATGTCGCATCTTATCTGCGCGCGTCTTGAAATCTCTCCGAACGATTTGTCTCCCCGAGATCTCGAGCTCTTATCGCGTCTAATCACCAGCTCAGATAATTATTTAAAAAATTACTTGTGAGTTATAAAAACTCAGAAATTAAAAACATATTCAAAAATTCTGTGTATGTAAAACTATTTTAACGTACTTTTTTCGTGTTTCTTTGTAAATAAAATGCGCGATGGGGGAATCGCTCCTGACGGTTTATTGGACCGGTAGGTAATTTTACTTTTTGGCACCGTCGCTTGACGCCCGTCGCCTCACACGATAAAACGACGACGAGAACGAGTGGGAAGGCTACTTGTCGTCGTCGTCGTCGTCGTCGTCAACGTTTCGAAACGCTGTCCGGTGCATTATCGCCGCGCTAGCTCCGCTTTCTTGTTGCATCAATCAGTCATGACCTGCCTCAATGAGTCCGTCGGGCGCGCGCGGCGGATTGGCGGCGTGACAATTCAAACAACGACAAGTCGACGGCAAGTTTATTCCCGCGACGCTGCCGCCTTCACTGTGCAGCGAGAGAAAACCGCTACGCGCTTCTCTCACGCGTGGACGAATATTTTATTTGCTCGTGTGAACAGAAACGACGAGGAGACAAACGAAAGAAACGACGTCGCGCGCGATACACGTGATACACGTCATTAACTGGTTATGTCGGCTTCGATATTTATCGAAGAGAATTGATTAGAATGCTAAGTTCGCGCGTTTGAACATCACGAGGATCTGTTTTCTCCCACCGTGTTTCCGTCAACGACAAACATCTTCATCGACGTTGAAACATCATTTGCAATGCTAACCGCCGACGCGGCGGCGTGTAGCGTAATAAGCTACATTTTATGTTAAATTATGCAGATGTATTACAAATGCTGGATTTTTTTTTTTTTTGTTTCGTATCAAATGTTGAAAAAGTTTGCTCGCTGTGAGTATCTTTCGATATCGACCGGTTGAATTCGAGTACAACGCGCGCGCGCGCGCATAATTTTATCTTATTAATATGTGTTTGTTAAAACATTTCTCTCCCCGAATTTGCAAAGCGCTCATCTCTCTCTCTCTCTATCTATCTCTCTCTCTCTCTCTCTCTCTCTCTCTCTCTCTCTCTCTCTCTCTCTCTCTCTCTCTCTCGTCGGAAAATGGATGCGGCGCATTTTTTAATTATTTTAATTAGCCGCCGCGCGATAATAGCGGGCGTATTTTAATTATTTTAATTGAGCGGTCGCGGCGAATTTATTTTTGCGCGTTGTGTAAAAAAAACTGTTTTATTATTGCCGTGTTGGTGTGCGTGTAAATGTTAGCACGACCTTCGCGCATCTCCTCCGTTCGCGATCCGAGAAGAGGTGGCGAGAGGAGGCACTTGCCTGTTAATATATGAACGAGCCGGTAACGAGGATAGACAAATACGCGTGTAGCGACGAATATTATTACGATGTCTCAATCTCTTCGCGGCTGTCGAGATCGTTATCGACGTTTGATTGTCACCGTGGTGTTCACAGACGGCGAGATTTTCGGATCAAAATAAATTTTCCGGTTGGTCGTCACGCGATTTTCCGAGACACGCGAGAGAACAACTTGAATTTGTAAAAAAAAAAAAAAAAAAAAAACAAAGTTACGTCCGAACTTCAAGAATGTAATACAGTAGTTTGTGACCTTTGAGATAACTCACTTAATTGACACTAATTGATGTAATTGCGGAAATGTTGCGTACGACTTCCCGGCATTGCTCTTCAAGGTCATTTTAAATTCAATTTATTTATGTGTGAACCGAATTAAAGATTTTTTTTTTTGTGTGGAATTGCGTTACATTTTGCAGCAACATGAGGTTTTTTTTTTTTTCAAGAAAACATCGATTTCAAATGCGAAATGTGTTTCCCGAGAGAAGAAACACGCTCACTTCTCCGCTCGGTTTCTTTGCTTTCAGAGTCACTGCGCGATTACAACGGACTCTCGTCGAACCTCTACAAGCCCTCGAACTACGACAAGCTCGCGCTGTCGCTCCTATCGCCGCTGCCGAACGAGCAGGACTTCGCCATCAACGTCTGCACCCTCCTGTCGAACGAAGGCAAACACACCCTGCGACTGGACAAGTATCCCCGGCTGGTGAACATCCTGCTGGCGCACGCCGGTGTCTTCGATTCGCCCGGCACGCGGCATCTATTCATCGAGGTTTACTCGCGCGTACGCAACTACTCGATCAATTCCTTCTGGTCGGACGTGCTCGACTCGCAGGACGTGATAGACCTCACGAACGAGAGGACTTTTATGAAGAAACCGCCATCGAGTCTGTCGACGTTCTCCAGGCGGAAGACTCTGGAGAAGGAGAAGCAGAACAAGCTGGACGGTGTCTCGTCGACGGAGAGCGACGAACTCACGGCGCCGATTGACGTTGAAGTGGTGCGATGATAGATTTGGTTTTTTTCTCCTACCACTAGTTTCGCAACTCTCGTCAGAATCTCTTAAGTTACCTCGTTGCGCGCGCGTCTTATGTTTTAAATACAACATAAGTCAGTAATAAATTCTTTAAGTTCGTTAATTTTACCGAGGAAATGTTTGTTTGGTTTTTTTCTTTTTCGATGAGTCCAAATGTCGTTCATGTGATTGCAGGCGCTTCCGGATTGTTCGCGATTGGATCACCTATCGTCGCATTCGGACGAGAGCTTGAGAGATCAAAATCAGAACTCGATCAAGTTCGAGGACGAGGACAAGGATCTGTTTTGCGTCGGGCGAACGTTGGGCACGCAGGATCCTTACGGACAGCGCGTGTTGCAAATCGCGTCGATCCTGCGAAATCTGAGCTTCACCCCGGAAAACGCGACGGTGCTAGGCAGGAATCGTTGCTTCCTGCGATTCGTGTTGCTGTGTGTGAGAGCGAGGTGGAGCAATTTGCATCAACTCGGTTTCGACATACTGGGAAACATAGCGAGCGAAATCGTGTTGAAAGAGGCCGGCGAGAGGATAACGGACGTCGTGCTGTCGTGCGTGGCCAGAGGTATCGAGTCCCAGGACAGGTTTATTGTCATATCCTGTCTGGAGGTGCTCAACAAGATCAGTCAGCAGGACAGCAACGAGGAGATTATCACGTTCGGTCTGGCGGACGATGTGTACGAACTTATATGCAGGTGAGTGCGCGTTTTTTGTGTGATATTTCTCTTCAGCTTCGCGTCAACAACAAACGCTGTCTGCGTTGTACGAATTTTGTCTGATAAAAGTTTTTGATTTCTTTTCTCGTTGCGCCACTAACTACTCTTGAACGCATTAGCAACGTACGTATTTTTAACACGAGATGTTCTTCCCTTTTGTTTGATCCTAGATTTTTGGCCCTGAGTGACATAGCTTTGCTGGTGTACACTCTGGAATGTTTGTATGCGTTAACGTCACTTGGCGAGAGACCGTGCACGAGCGTCGCGCGAGTACGCGGTGCCATTGACACGCTGGTCGCCCTCGTCACTGTGGAAGCGCAAAGTTACGGTCCCAAGGCCTGCATTCTCATGCGCGTTGTCGAAACGGTATCGACGGTAGCGGCGCAGCAAAACACCGCGGGCCAGAGCACCGCTCCCGCAACACCCGCAACGCCGACCGCTACTACTACCACAACGGCCACGTCCGTGTCCACTCCGTCTACTCCGGCAACAATCACCGCGACACCGGCACCCGCCAGTCCAGCATCTTCCCGACCCACAACTCCAGCCGCGACCTCGACCAAATCGGCATCGCACAGTACGTGAATCGTAAATTTTCTTTTGTGTTCTCAGCTTTCGAATGTCTTGTTTTTTTTCTATCAATATTTTTCCGCTAACGTTTACAGAAGCAGTGGACACGACCAACACACAGCACACGCATCAGCAAATTATTCAAGAAAACGAACAGTTCGCTCTTGGCTGGGTGAAAGCGACTTTCGAGCTGGCACCCGGAACGCGCATTGAACAAGAAGAATTGTACAAAAAGTATCTTGGCTGTTGCACAAAGATCGGCAGACGAGGTGTCATTGCGCCACTACATTTTCCGAGATGCGTCAGGTTAGGATTCGTCCCACGAGATTACGAACTGTCGTTTTCGTATTATCGTGCGTTAACACGTTCCTTAAAACAATATCTGTTGCGTTGTCTGTGTAGATCCGTATTCGGCAGTATCGTGGGTCCGAATCCGTTGAAGGGTGACAATAGCGGTACCCAGTATTATGAAGGCATTCGAGTACGGGCTACCCCTGCGCCGATCACTTATCCGAGCCAAACCACCACAGCGGTCGGCACCAATACACCACCGATCCCGGCAATCAACACCACGCCAGCTAAGGTGCTGCTTCCCGTTCAACAGCGTACAATCAAGAATTTAAGTCCCGCACCCGATAGCACGGCCGTCTCCCAGGTTGATAGTCCCGCCGCGTCGTCCGGGACGCAAACGACTCCCACCGCTCCCGCGTCCCCCATCCTAAAGGCCCAGTTGTCCGCTCCACCGAAACCCTCGTCTAGCAACACCTCAAGCCAGTCCCAAACTCTAGTGACCAAGGTTGATTCTAAGAGTCAGGTGGGTCCAAGTCCTAGTCTCATCACTCTGCCTCTTTCTCTTTACTACCGTTCTTTGCCGAGATCTCATTTTGTGACCTTGGTTCTCACATCTTTGGTTTGTCGTAGCTTCCTAATGCTATTCTCAATGTTGGTTTTTTCCCTTCTTAATGCGAGCTAATCTTTTATCTTCTTGTAACCCAGAGGTGAGAGGGAGTTGCGTTTGCATGCCTTGTGAAAATTTATTTAGCTTTGTAAATTGTCGAGAGAGTATTTTTTTGTTTTTTTTTTTTAGATAGTAGAAAAAAGACAAGTATATACTGTATCTGATTTAGTTTTGTGAGATTTTAGATATTATTTTTGCCTATATATATCTACAATGCTAAAAGTATAAAAAAATTCGAAACTCTACGTAGGATGTGTACGCTTTCTGTTCGCAATCATTGCTGCGGTCTTGCGGAAAATTTATCGATCGGAATTAGAATTCCGAAGAATGCGTGTGTCATTTGTGATTTACCGCTTGCCAAACAGCTTTCCTCCGACTGCGCAAACAATAGTAACGCTATATATATAACGTACGAGATACATAATCGCAGCATGCGTTCACGTAAAAAAAAATAAAAAAAAAAAACACGCTGAAGTTTTTATACTTTCCGAAAGTCTCCCGAGGTCCTCTTGTGGTGGTTGAAAATTTGTATGTTGCCTCCTTGTGTCGATTAGGTATCAGTATCGCATCCGCACCTGAGCCAAGCGTTGCTGGCGAGCGGCTCGCAAATGCCGCAACCCCAGCAACCGCAGCTACAGCCGCAGCAACAGTCGCAAAGCGTCCAGGTAGTCGCTAAGGAAGACAGTCGAAGCGGCACTACGTCGAGTTCCATAATAAAAAGCCTATTGGCTACTAAGGTAACAGTCAGCAGCGACTGCATGCCCAGTGCTGCTGCGACTTGTGTGTCTACCCCTACTGCCTGCGTAACAAACACTACTGCTAGCATCGCATCCAGCATCAGTGCCAACCAGCTAATAACCAGCAACCAGGTATCATTGTTGTACATTAACAAATATAAGTAGTGTCTTTTTTTTGAGGGACGTTTTTTCTTTTTTTTATTTTGTGTCCACAGAAAATATCAGACGGAAATTTTGGTCATTGTTTTCCCCTGATATTTTTTCATTTGACATTTGAGCGTCGTCGAGTTGAAAATATTCGACAAAATATAGGATATCCATAGAAATTTTTTTTGTTTTGTTTATTTTTAATAATACCGTTCCGACAAAAAGATTAGTACTTGTACAAATTTTGGTATGTGCATTTATGTTCCGTTCTTTCTTTTTTAGTATTATTTGTCGAAATGTATGTGCTTATGATGTAGTGTTGATTGATGTATTCAGATTTTTGTTATGTACACTCTCTTCTCCTCGTTTCTTTCGGGAATATAAAACCACCAAGACCAGAACACATCCTTTTCCTCTCCAACTTTGACAAAAAAAAAAAAAAAAGAAAGAAAATACGAAATAAGAAATTCTTTTTATCAGCAACGTTTTAACAGTGTTGTTCAGAAGTTTCAATGAAAATTCTCAAATAATATCTAGTACTAACACACGATAGCATGGTGTTTTCGATGATGATTCAATTGGTTTTGTTTACATCTCACTTGCAATCGACAAGTTTCTTCTCAAAAAGTGATGCAAGTTTTACGGTTTGATAAAACGCGCGATAATGTAAAAAGCTTTACGAGCTTGTCGCTTAATTTTACTACGGAAATCTTCTCAGGTTGCCCAACGGCAACAGCAACAGAGGTTACTGCAGCAGCAGATGACGAGTATAGCGCAGCCTGCCGCACCCGCGGCCACTCCAGCCACTTTAATCCCGAAAACACCCGTCAACGCCAAGCAGAAACCAGCGATCACTCCCATTCCTGCCAAAAAGATACAGAGGCTCAACGGAGCCAAGTTTCTTATGACTAATAACTGTGAGAAGGTGCGTATCGGCTGTTACGTGCTCGCGGTTTGACGAGATTTCGCAACAGCGTATCTACTGTTATCGTGTGTCTTCGCATGTTTCAGACTGAAGTAAACGATAACGACAACGCAAACCAAATTGTCACGTCCACTACTACCGTGATGATGAACTCGACTGAAAATCACATATCCTCCTCACCGGCGAAGATCTGTCGTCCGCCATTAACGACGATGGTTACAGTCGCCACCGCAACACCGAACAAAATGAATCAACGCACCACGTGCACTTCCATCGCCGAGGACTCCGATTCCACCAATAATTCTCTGGCGTCGAGCAGCGGTATCGGTGGCAGCAGGGATTGCTCCGGAGCCGGCGTCGAGGAGGAAAACATGCTAACGAGTTTCGAGGGCATTTTACTCAACGGAGCGAGCTGCACGCCGGCGGACAACAACATGGACATGGACGCGCAGGACGACGGTTCGTCCAAGGACTCGTCGAGCGTGAGCTCGAAAGAGAAGTCGCTGCAGAGCATGATGCTGGTGGATCTGCTTGAGAGGAAGGTCGACAAGGAACCGATTCTGAACGGCGTGCTCGGCAAGAACTCGATCAACGAGAAGGAAATGGACCTTGTGGAAAATCACATTAAGAAAGTGCTGAAAGATTCACCGAGCGACCTGAAGATAAAACCTGAGATAGATAGCGGTAATGTGATACAAAATGAGGGTAACAACGTTATACAGAACGAGGACACTCTGATCGAAGCGCCGAGAGGAATCAAAAGATCAGCTAGCGAATCGGACGAGCTTGAGATCAAAAAACCGAAGTATTCGAATGGCACGATATCGCCGGATCCGGCGGTAGACTCGACAACAGCCGAATCTACAGTATCGAGTATAAAGTCTGAGGAACAAGACGACGACAAGGATAGCGAGAAAGCGACTGTTTCCTCCAGTGCGGCGAATCTTTATGCCGCCTTAGCCGCAGATTGCATAGAGGATGAAACGGATCTGGAGGAGCCAGTGTCCGTCAACAAGGACATGATAAAGGAAGAACCGGCTCCGGTGATAGCACCGCAAGTGGTAACGACGCCGACGGTACCAGCACCGGCGGTAGCGGCAACGACAGTGGCGGCGGCACCTCTTCCTCCTCCCCTTCATGTGAAAACGTCGGACGGAACGTCAGTTCTCGTAAAAGACGATCCGCCGGCTCTGCACATTAAGGAAGAACCACACATATTCATCAATCAGATCACCCAGATGTCCCAACAGGCGCAGCCGCATCAGCAACAGCAACAACAGCTCATAGTGGCTGCACCCAGGCAGATAGTGGTGCAGCAGGCGATCCCCTCGAATAATCAAATGGTTATTCCCACCACCGCGGTGAAAGGCAGACCGCCTCCGCCACAGCCGCAGGTGTTGCTACAACAGAGCCCAAGTGGACAGTTGCAGTACGTGGTGTCGGGAGGTGTGCCCGGTCAAAATTACGTTCTGGCGCAACCGCAGACCGCTCTGGTACAAGGTCAGGCGCAGACTGTTCTCGTGGCGCAGACGACGCAGCAACAAGGAACCGGCACCAAGACGATCATCATATTACAGCCGCAAGCTGCCGCGCAGGCTGCTCCGCAGAAGATGGTGGCGATGACGCCGCAGGGACAGCAAGTGGTCGTGACTCAGGTACCGCGTCCGATTCTGCAAAGCCCGGCGCTGGGCAATATACCGCCACCCCTCGTTCCTACGTCCGCGACCATGTCGCAAACTTCCATCATAGTCAACAGTTCGGTAACGCAAACCAACCCGAACACTGTGACTGTTACGATCCCGGCGATAGCCCAGCAGACTCCGGTGTCCACCAGCGTGCCGTCCAGGGTAGTGACACCCACTCCGGCATCCACACCGCCACCCACGAGGCCGACGACACCTCATCAGGCAGCGGCTACCCATGGCGTGACCGTGGTCAAGCCGCCGCCCGTTACGAAGATCGTGAAGACGGTAAGCTCGTCGACGTCCACCGAACCGGAGTCAAAACCTTCCACTAGCCAACAACTGCAGCAGTCGTCGCAGTCGTTGCAAGAAAACAAAACTATCACGATCAAAATCGACCCCAACGCTTATCTGTGCGAGTGGCGGGGCTGTCTCAGGTAAGTTCGCTTTTGCGGAATTAATTTGTCTTTTATATTGAGCGATTTATTATTTGGCATCGTGAACTGACTAAATACTGTATGACTTCAGACAATTTAAAACACCGCACGAGGTCTATCTACATGTCTGTGAGGCCCATTGTCCGACCGGTGGTGAGGAGATACTGTGTCTATGGGGAAGTTGTGACGCGCTCAAGAGACGCAGGTTTTCGTTAATGACCCATCTATACGATAGACACTGTAACGCGGATGTAAGCAAATCTTGATTCAATTTTTTTTTTTTCATATTTAGAGAAATTATTAAGGATTACATCAGCGTGATCGATGACGAGTGTTATATGCGCGGTTTGTTTTGTTTTCTCTTTTTAATCAGACTATGACAATGCGGAGGAAACAGTTGACAGTGACGGGGAAAACCGAGGTGGCCACGTCTACACCTCCGACTCCACATCATCCTGGATACGCACCCAACGCCGCACTCCACGCGATCAAACGACACGCTCTGGAGTTTGTTAATCCTAAAGAGCTAATGGTAAGTTTGACATTACGTCTTTTTAAAACAATTCCAAAATTTGTGTTAAAGAATATATAAAATTTAATTCCGTTTCTATTTCTCGCACATGTAATTTTTATCGCGCAAGCGCATTAACACGTCGTAAAAATAAATAAATAAAAACTAGAAACCCAAACAGAAACAGGATTAAGCTATAAGTTTATTCTATGACACATCCGTTGTAGGTTCAATTCGAGATAAACTTCCTCACTGCGATAGAGTAAATCGATGTATACAAAACTACACTTGTAAACTATATAATTTTTCCCCATCACGTCTCGAATATTCCGTGTTAATGTCAAGTCCATTCGAACCTCCCGACAGTTCTCGATCCTGCGAATCTTTGAATGGCTAATTTAACGAAAATTTCTTGTTCTCTCCTGGCGAAGCAGCAAAGGCCGACCAAGCCCGCTGCAGCCACCTCAAGCTCTTCTTCCCCAAGACCTGGGCAAAATTCTCCACCGGAACAGGTAAAAACAAATGTGTTCAGAAAGAAAAAGCATGACACAGCTCACAGCTCTTGTGCGCTGCTGCTGCTGCTGCTGCTGCTATTGCTGTTGTTGTTGTTGTTGTTGTTGTTGCCCTTTACCGTGGCGTTTTTTTGTGCATTTCTGTTTTTTATGTTCTCGCACACCACATGTTCATCGTCCAGAAATCTCCTCCATTTGTTTTATCCCTTCAGTTTTGTCATTCAGCATGGTTTATTTCATTTTTATTTTCGTCATGTTATGGTAGTTTTTTTCATTATTTTCTATTATTCTCATTGTTTTTTACATCTCGTAACTGGCATTTGTTTGTAACGATCATTGGAACTTACAAGATTCACGCTAGAGAAAGGTGTTGGCGCAGTGTTGTTGTCGTTTCGACAGAACGGCAGTTCAAAACGTCAAGACCTCGTGTACTTTACACACCCCGCGAGAGTAGATGCGCTAGACGTAGACTCGAACCATGTTTTCAAGTCATTCCCTGTTTTTTTTTTTTTTTTTTTTTTTTTTTTTGTGAAAGTTGAGATATGTGTGCTCTTTTGCTGTTGTTGTCGCAATGTGGCTTAACGTGCAAGAATTTAACTGCCCCTCCTCCCACACATCACACTTGTTACATGAAATTCATGCGCAACTGTGTTCAAGACGAACGTAACTTCGTCGTGCACAATTTGCAGCATTTCTCACACATTAATACGACTTCATAGTGCGTTCGCAAGAACAATTTATTATGCGGAATCATAATCATGCATTTTTCGCGCAAACTGTTTTTTTTTTGTTTTAGCAATTATTGGCAGATTAATAAATGATTGCATCTTTGTGTCTCAATGTTTGTGTGCGAGAGCGAGAGAAAGAAAAAAAGCGCGGGATATTGATTGACTGTCAATCGTGTCTCTTTGTTTTTGCAGGATGACAACGAAGGTCCAGTGACCAAAAGTATTCGCCTAACGGCAGCTCTCATTCTCAGAAACCTAGTCATATACTCAACGCACGGTAGACGGTACGTTTGCATCATTTTAATTTTTTTTTTTTTTCTCGTTTTAATCTCGATTGCTACGTGACTTTCATGTGAATTGTTTTTGCAGGCACCTTAGGGCGTACGAGCCCCACTTGGCAGGCGTGGCGTTAAGCAACGTCGAATCATCAAGAACGATCGCACAAGTCCTGTACGATATGAACGACCAGAGTAGCAATAGCCATCATAGGTGACCTCTTGAAACAGGCCTCTAAAACGCTCTTTTAACCTTGTGAGCAGCGATCAATTTACATCCATCTCGAGCTACTTGTATTACGATGCGAGGAGGGAACACACCGTGTTTTACGTGAATTATAATAACGAAGTCCGTTATTTACTCGCTGTGCTGCTGGTGCGTGTGCATGAGTTGTGCGCGCATACGCGCGTTAGTGTACGTGTCCATACGATTTGAGAAAGATATTAACGACGGTATCGGAGATAAATGTTCCATATATAGAAAAAAAAAAAAGAGGCCTATAAACTTACTAGGCAAATCACTTTGCCAATTTAGATTATAACATAAACTGTAATTATAGTGAAAACACGAGACAAAGACAGTAGTTGAAATGATAAACGGAATGGTGATTACAAGAGAGAAAGAGAAAAAAATAGAGAAAGAAGCGCGTGTATATGTAAATGAAAATGATGAAAATATGTGTGTGTGTGTGTGTGTGTGTGTGTGTGTGTACGCGTATGTATGTGTGTAAGAGAGAAAGAAAGAGATATGATATTTCAGATTTAATATTAATATTTATTTTCTCAACAAGAAATGTGGAAAGAAAAAAGTGTTTTTAGTAAACGTGTACAAAAAAAAACGACGCAGATAATACTTTATGGACGTTATAGTTAATTATATAATCACTATATTATTAATATTACATATATATATATATATATATATATATATTATTCTATATTATTATTGTATGTTTTTTTGTAAGGAAAATTACCAAGGT